TATAAGAGGGTTATTAACAAACCTAGTAATTATCTGTTCACATTCGAGGAACGAAAAAAATATTAATGAGGTAGTAGGATGAGAACAAGCAACAGGTAGGTATAAGAATGGAAATAATTCCGTTTGATAGGTGAACCTATGAGTAGGTATAAAGAATTCGAAGAAACGATCCTTAATCTGACGGAAATATCTCGAGTTCCCTTATAGTTCATTACATTCTTGAAATATCTTTAATCATCAAGCACGGCTATATCTCCACAGACTTGCTATATATGATGGTCTATCTTGCCAATAATTACAACGAGCCTGTTTCAGCGAAAAATTTGATTTCATTATTTCGAAGTCCAGAACAATAACTGTCATATTGAATTTTATAAGGTACTTATAGATAAATTTGGCAGCATAGAAATATGTAGGTTATCCTCTCTTTGATTATTGGTGCAAATAAGTGTATAACGTAATAGGAAGCTGTCGTTTTTGGAAGGTGCCGATTTTAAATCAGTCACAATTTGTCGTTATGAAATTATTAGTATCATATATTATATTGGAACTATTTCTGACTTCTGCTAGTTTGCCAATGTTGATTTGATAAGCAGGTATCCATGAGAGATTCGAAGAAACTAACATAAAGTTCATATATCATGTTTAGGATAACTTCATCATAAGTTCTTCCCATGCAAACATTCCAATGGAATAATGTTGGATGCAAGTTTTTAATTTAAAAAATATATTAATCGTGTTTAACGTGACACTAACGTCCATAAATATCATTAATTTTATCAATTTATTTCGATTGCGGTTTTATTATATCCCGCATGAACAGAATCTTGACTTGCTGCATCATAGAACACAATTTCTAATAATCCTACCTAGTTCCGTTAAGGTCAAGTCACTCCGTACATTATATACCCTCGATTACAGATTATTACCTTTTTATACGTCATCGTAATTTATGTAAATACGATAATAACGTTCATTATAAACGATATGAAGCGATCCTGCCACAGCCTCGAGGGTATGTGCGAGCAGCGAAATTCACGTCTTCCTCACGGTTCGATGAGATGACCCGCGATGGTATGCTTCGTCCAATGGTGATTGACGGGCCCCGTCATTATGGTACCCGCCATGGCCGGATGGTATGGGCATTCGTTCGGTGCTGTGCTATAGTTGGCCACCTTCTATAGCTCCGGGCTGATTCCCAAGTCGTTCGACAATAGGAGAGGAGATGTGAGATATTAGCCGCCTATTTATTATGTTTGTGGCGCATCGTCGGATAGTGATGGCCCCGAGAAAGAGAGTTATACAAGTTGCAATAATATGAATTTGGTTTATTCATCAGATAGATTTAGGTATGCATTTTTGTAGAAAAAATTTTGGAAAGAAGATACCTATTCATTTGGCCATGCCATCAGTACTGCATATTTATCTTTGTGAAGGTTCAATTATGCAAAATTTGAACAGTTGTGTTGTGTTTTCAGTACAGTAGCCTTTGTCTCATTGATCAGCGGGTGTGTGTGATTTTTTGCATGAAATAATTCGAATAAGTAGAGTGAGATTTGCGTCAAGATAGCGAGTTAGTCAAATAAAAGCTGTATTCGCAATCACAGAAAGACACAGAAACCTACATAGAGGAGTTCACTATATAGTAAACATAAAATAACGAGGAATGCGTATCTAGAAATATACTATTTCGTGATCATTATCCACAAACATGATTATTTTTCCGATAGATATTACAATAGATTTCACATCATTAGTAGGTACCTTGTTAACCATTTGTTTTTTCATCCCCACAGATAAAAACAATTATATAATGAGGCTATACTGTTCGCGATCAAACAACAATAGGGTTGTAAACCTCAGTCCAATCTACGCCACATACCTATTTTACATAACTTGATATACCGATTTGTACCAATAGTGATAATTGATGATATCCACAAGCATATTTACATATTTGGAAGCTGCCAATAGGATGAATGACAACTGTATTCACATTCACAGGAGACATTGGTTCCTCCTGGTATCTAATAATCATTTATTGTTATATAGGACATGCATTTTGATTATAGCATTTGATTTGAATGTATATAAGGACCCGTTAGATTTTAATGAAATTTGAAATGTGTTTTCAAAAATGTGACTATTTGCAAATAGCACAGTGTTTCTTCAGTGTATACCTAACCTATTATACCTGAATCCCTCAGAGAACATAAATCTGGGATGGGCAATCGTCTTTATCATCAATCAAATCACCATCGTTACCGATAACTCAATAAAACTGGAATCTCTTGCATTTATGCATCACCCATAGGCACAATCCGACCTAACAATGTAATATCATTAAAAAATTCCTGGCATTTTTCTTCGATGTAGCGCGATGTTTAAAATATAACTCCGATGGAATTAAACGGAGCTGATGCCGGGGAGAAGGAAAAATAGATAATCAGTATGCACCCTGACTCCCTCCCTGGTGATGATGGATTTATACGGGTTTAGAAGTACCCGGCGATAAATCTGGCTCTGTTCATCTCTTCGCCCCTGTCTGGGGTCCGTGTATATCGCGATCGAACATTCCTGGTCCATCCTTATCCGAGTTCGGATCGCCAAAAACCAGTCGTCGCGTCGGATGATCCGGCCACGAATATCGAAGGCCATTAATCAACTGTTATCTGCGAAAACGTTCGGGATTGTCTTTTCTTCGAAAGAAGGGATTGCGGACTGCATTGTATTCCGTTCACCGTAATTATCCCGGGACGAAGTCAAAGTCTCTGCTGAGATGGCGAGAGGACAAAAGATGATTAAAAGAAAATTCGGCTCTTGGAGAGTGCACCGAGTTCGTTTACATTGTGATTTACAATGGTATTTTCTCGATGTAGGGGGGGTGCTTGATTGCTGTATCGTCGTACCTTCTCAAGTTTTCTGCAAGGCACTGTTTTCATAAAACCATTAGCGAAGGTTTTCCGGAATCCTTTAACTTGAATTGTTACCACAATCGAAGATCATAAGTCAAAATAGCGATTTCAGCGTAATTATCCTGGGACGAAGCATATATTAACGACTCTATGGACGAAGTCATAGTCTCTGCTATATAAGAAAGAAAATTCGGCTCTTAGAGAATACACCGAGTTCGTTTTATATTGTGATTTACAATGGTATTTTCTCGATGTAGTTAAGGGGTGCTTGATTGCTGTATCGCCGTACTTTACTTCAAGTTTTCTGCAAGATACTGTTTTCATAAAACGATTAGCGAAAGTTTTTCCGAGATTCTTCATGTAGAATCATCATCACAATGCAAGTGAATTGAATTGAATTGAATTTGTGCCTATGGAAAAAATACAATAGTTTCTCATAATCATACTTCACGAAGAAATGATAATCTGAACCGTTATCATATTTAGAGAACATCTCCTCCTCATAACAAATAAACAATGAATGTTGTTATCATCAAACTATATAATTTCCATAATATTCAATTGGAAATCCTCAAACGCCACTATCCATTACCCATCCACCCAAACAACCTCTTGACTCCTGCGATTCAATGGCACTCTCACGATCCCTCTTTGCGGGAGGGTCCTGCGATGTCTTCCATTGACTGCCGACCGCGTGTGTTTGCGTATCTGGTAATGACTGCGATTCCGCTTCCAGCAAACAACAACAGCAGCGACTACGACAAAATTGTCGGGTCGATCGAGAATCGCAGCTCTCTCACCCTAATCTGATTTCTTCCCTTTCGCTTTGCGTGTGACTCATTAACCCCCTCACTCACCCTCGACTACGGTTCTGCATGTACGCCGCTTACTTGACGGCATTGCATCGAGAGCCATTACGGCACCCGCAAAATTGCGTACTGTAATTAGAGTCGGCAGTAGCGCCGAGCGAGCGTGAGATAACGAAGGCTTTTCCATGGGGGTCGATCCAGATAGCAAAAATGAGAACCCGTGATATTCTATCACGGTATGTTTGGAGAGAGATGATAAAATGTATGTCGTCGAAATTTAAAAACGTTGGGCATCGAAAGAGTTTAATGCTTTCTAGTAGGTAGATGATAGCCAAGTTAGAATAACAATTTTTCTGATTTTGACATTTAATTTGACACATTTCAAAACTGACGGAAGTTTTGTAACGTCTTATTTACGTTACCAGTTGCGTAGTGAAATGTTTCATTACTGAGATAACATATTTTCAACACCCGTTAGGAAATCAAAATATGGATATAGACGAAGAGCAATAGTGCATTTTGGGATGCTTCCTTGATATCACTTGGAAAACCTTAACTTGAAATCAGACATTTTCTGCTAGTAAAAATTTCAAACTAAGCTTTTTTGTCACTGATTTACAGCCGTATCATTGATTACGGATACTTCAGAGTGACAGGTGGGGTCTACTTGCGTGCGCTAAATTTTGTACATAATCGGTTGAACTTTATTGAACTGGTCAATATTTAATTTCAAGAGGAATTTTTCGCCAAAAATTGTTGGGATTTTTTCGTAAAAATGGAATAAATTATTCTTCGCATTTTGTTTCGTTTTCGCAGTTAACACATCTTGACAGAAGTTAGTTAGTTCATTTAGATTTGACGATGAAAAAGTTCATTTAGAGTTTCAAGCAATTTTTTCTTGGAACGTCTTGTCGGTGAAATCGAGATTTTTTTTTGACTTTCATTCCTATGATCATTTGAAGTGATCAAATCATAAATCAATTGATAATCTCCTATGCTCTATAAGATAAACAAAGCACCAAGACTAAATAGTAATTCAAGAACGAATGCTTCAACGAAATTATTAATGCATGATGGCTACCTGTATTTTTCATTAGGCGCTGAGAAGAATTATGACAGCGATAGACAAACATTCTGACAGAATTTTATAATAAACTCGACTCTCGATGACACGTAAATCTGTGTTTCTTCATCGCATAAACTACATCTGTTCCAGAATCTCTAATGCCTATAAATTCACGAAGTGGGCGATCACTTGAAGTCTAATACTACAAACATGAATCATGTTCATCAAAATGAACCAGTAGGTGGCTATCATATCGAATACGGCTACGAACAAAAAAATTTTCCCGATGATTTCCTTCATAATATTCGAGCGTCTCACATACATCATCTGGATATCAACAACCCATTAGCAAACAAAGCTCCCATCGCTTTTTATCCCATAAATTTATTCCCGAATCTCTTCGAGGTAGGTGAAATTTATATCCCCCATTGTTTCTCTTCGGAATAACACATGTAACTTTATGTAAATGATTATTATAAAGATAGTCGAGGCTGTCAGAGCGGATGAATCGTCTATTCATTGCTCGCAGCTTATTACCATGGCCCGAAGCGGGCCGATTGTCAAATGTCATTCCGGACAGTGACGTTTGTTTAGGTTGCCGTCCATCAAGTAGGCAGTGCATCCCCCGAGTATTTCGGTGCATACATGCACATGTGAAAACCATATGACGCGACGAGTGATTTTGGTTTGTATAGATGGTAGGCGGCGAACGATATGAATTTCTACACCTGTCCAGCTTCATAACGCAAGCTGTCGACAATGTTTCGTCTACGATTAGCTCGATCTGAACAGTTTCAATCTTAGAAAACATTCTCAAATCGCCCTTGAAACACTTTGAAATCGATATAATTGTTGACCTACTAGTTCACTAATTTAACACATTTTGTCTACAACAATTGCTATCGAGTTAATGCGAACCACTGCTTACTCAATTCTCAACAGTTGATGACAATGATTTCTGTAATGAAGACAGTAACGAGAAAGCCGACATCATCGCCAAATAGGGAACAGAAGCTTTGTTTATAGAACGAGAACCAAAATAACTACCTATTTCGGACTGGGCGAAGGGAAAAAGACTCACGTACTGCTTTGATTCATTAGGATTTACTCATTCGAATGCGTTCTTGCTAAACCATCAGAAAATACAACCAGACAGATACTAGAATGAAGCAGGAGCAACCTGCGAATTCTAACAGGACTGATTACGGAAAACACTGTCGTCTGAAAAGTAACCACCTAAGAAGGAAGGATGCGGGACTAAGGTTCAACATATTTGGATTCACCAATTCAGGACCAATCGATTTGAAGAAAATTGCACCTCATGCTACCTAGAAATTCGCAAAATGAAGTGGATTGATTGTACAGCGAACTGTAAGCTCTAGGAATGAGACCCACTCACATGGAACCTATAACCTAACCTATAATACTGATAGTACGATTGAGTAATATTGTGACATCGCATCGTCATGTAGGATATAAGTATTTTTTCTCATGTTCATAGATTGCAGAAGGCAACAATTATTTTTCTTTACACATAGGTATGGGCGATACCAATCAAAACGAACATGCATTGTTGGTTGCATTGTAGCGGCATTATATAGGCTTTAATATAATGCATTTATATGCTTTGACTTATTGACTTGTGGTCTTGAATGGATATTCTGCAATAATATTGACAAAATACAAACATATATCTTCATTACCAAATTGAGAAAATACTTTCAAGTTATATTAGGTTAGTATACTTCAGAATAACGAAATAATTGAGGAAGATGATGAATATGAAGATGAACTGAAAAAAATGCGGTCCAAATATGTTGTGCACATTGTGTGTTTTGATGGCAAGATACTACCGGCTCATAAATTTCATTAAATCAGTAAAACTTCGTGGCACTCACACGAGAGACTTCTTTAATGATGCGTTTTATGTTTTCGCACGACACACATTATTTTAATCCGTTCGTTTGGACCAGCTCCAAAGCTATACAGGCACATGTTTATTCTACGAGACGATTTTTTTTTCTCCTCTTTCTCTCGAAACATGTGTGATAACGAACTTATTTTCAACGAAAATAACCTGGGACATTCTTCCCGCTTATAATTAAGAGTTCCTCATGGCTTTATCGACACGATGGAAATAGAATTTTAATATGTCGTAGAAAAATGTCATCTCATATATAACTGCCTTGTCCCTCACTAGTACATTAAATCTTATGCCCGCTCCACACATTAATAAATAGAAGCAAATAATACCAACAATTCTCATCTCACGTTTTTTTCTAGGGGATGCGAGTAATGCGAGTATCGGTAGTGGAGAAGGTACAGGCGAAGAAGACGACGATACCAACGGAAAAAAGAATCAAAAAAAGAGAGGCATATTTCCCAAAGTAGCAACCAATATACTCAGAGCGTGGCTGTTTCAACATTTAACGGTAAGTAACGTTAGTATCATCAATTGCAAGAGTGTGTAGGTACTATTTAACACTTAATGAATGAAACACGCTATAGAGGTGACGGTGAAACTCATTTCTATTCTGAGACCAAGGGGCAGAGGGCGATCAATCAATGAATGTATCATGCTCCTAGCGTACACTCTTACCGAAAATTGAGGAATCGCATTGCATATACGGGGTCCTCCTATCGATCGTACGGCGTCCTTCCCTCGCAATATCCGATACCGGACTTAGCGCACAGGGTTTAATGAGTCGTGCACCTAATCCGGGATCAGAGAGCGATACTCACACGGGGAGAGCCGCTAAAATATTCATGCGTCGTCGGGCCAGTCTTTAGGGCCGTTCAATGGCTCGAGTCGCAAAGTGGCGCGCCATCAAATATTGAAAACGCCGAGGTCAAGAAGAGTTCCCCGGAGAGACGACGAAGAAGACTCAGCGTTATCTACGGTTTCCGGTCCGCGGCTCCAATTGCCCGTTCCCATCCTTTAATTCCGTCTGACAGGTGGACGGGCGATGCATTCGCCCGGGATTTCCTGAGGGAGCCACTCCGACCGTCTTATATCACGCCGCCGATACGTTTCTACCTACTACCAGGATAGATGATAATATAGAAAGTGGTGTTGGATAGAATACGAAGGCTGGCCGGCCGGACCTTTGCATGCATGCGGCGGCCTGATAACGTTAAACGCCACCAGCAGAGATGGAACGGCCCGAGGGGGACGCTTCTAATCCCTGGCCTGGCTGTACGTGAGGGTAAGGCGAGCGTAAGGCCTAATTTCCTGCAGAGCCGGGCTCCACTACGCCACATTCATAATAATCATTTTATGGAAATGAATCGCGTCTCAGCTGGAGACCGTTCACGAATCTCCAACAGTGCCTCTCTCTATCTCTATCATGTTCTCCATCGAATTTTCACGGTCTGACAATCATTTATACGGAATTTCTGCAATCCTTCATCGTGTTGGCAAAAATCTGTATCTCCAATATCTGCAAAAGAATTATGATGATGTATCAGTTGGTGCGCTGCCACCATTAATTTCATAACGACAACTAGACGAAGAAAGAAGCAGACTGATTTGTGTTCTCTTCCGATGGTCTCCTGCTTTTCAAGATTTTTATTATCATCGTTGGGAGATGTGATCCAACTCCGACGATCTGAAATGAGCGAAATCGATCGGACCAAAACCTTTCATTGGCATCGCATCATGTTTCACCGAACATAGTGTGAAAACTTTGACTACATGAAAAGTTGTAGACTTCTGGCACAATCTACCAAGATTGGCTCATTCCAAAGCATTTATACATCCTAAGAAGAATGCCCCAAACAAATTTTAGACCTTCGCTCACTAACAGGCCAACTAACAGATCACTGTCGTCTCTGAGTCATAATATTTCTGACTTGGACTGTCCGATGATACTGCGTACCGTCTCTGTCTTGAAGATGATGAAACATCAGAGCATATACTTTATATCTGCCCCGCTGGCTGTTTGACTACTATCTAGACCGCTTATGTCATATCTCAGCAACCCGAAAATCTCGGGTAAATTGCTCGCGTGAAAACGCTTCTGCCCAATGCACAGGGATGTGACAAGAATCCTCAAACTGTTTCTTGATGTTCGGAAACATGAGGACGAATAAGCATGAATAGGAAAGGTTCTTAATGCACATGATTCATGCTCTCCAGTTCGATCTCGTGAATAGTATAGCTTCTTTCGCATGGCATTAGCGGAGTAGAATCTAAATTGTATTATGTTTATGTTAGTGTTCTCGTCCTCGGACCTGAAAGATCATTCACCAAGTGAACTGATCCGCTTCATCAAGAAACTGGATGTACTGTAGCAGTGCAGGGCCGAATAGGTCCACTCACTTTGCTTCAAACCTAAAATACCCTTCTTCACCGATGACTTTAGTCCCTTCAACTGCACGAAACGGGTGCATGGTTAATCACAACTGCATTATTTGCACCTCAACATTTCAGGTCGTAAAAAAACACGTGTTTGCTGATAGCTGCTCAAACTGGATCGTCCTTTATGTGGACGCGATCCATTCTAGTTTATCTTGAGCTGAGGTCTCCTAATTTGGTGTATTCGAAAGAGCCATCGATAAAAGGTAATCTCCAATCGGGATCGTTAGCGGAAGCGTTAATAACCGTTCCGGAGGCGGTAGGACGGTGTCTGGCGATGCGATAGCATACACTCCGGGGACCGGATTCTGCGGCCGTAATTCCGTGAAGAAGAACCTGCCCGCCATCCATTCCCCATCACACCTACGAAGAGGCCCTCGGAGACCGATAACCCCATCTTGAGTGTCTCTCCGGGGCGGAATAACCCTTATGCAGCGCCTCTGTCTCACTCCGCCTTCAATGCATAGTGATTTTTACGATAATACTGGGATTCCGCACATACTGCCATTATTTGCGTATTCGTACGAGTCGGATGTGAAACGAGTAGAAAATTGAAGGGGGGCCCAAGTTTGATCGCACTCTCGGACTGATTTTAATGCACCCCTGAGCCCACACATCACCCATCGTGTGCTGAGGCAATATACCATCGGATGTAAATCAAGTCGAGGAGAGTTATCACACGTAAGATTCGAACATCAACGTATGCAGGATGGTTTCTTTAGTTCAATCAATCTTTACATGCAGAAGGTCGGATACTTCTGATTTTTATATACCTGGTGTCTCAGAGCTTTTAGGCCAGCAGATATCTGGGTTATCTAAAATACAAAGACTTTCATGAACTTGGGAAATTTATGGGAACAAAAGCTCTCCAAAATAGTGATATCAAATCACCCTTGTATCAAACAATCTACTAGAAACAACCCCATACTTAGGATTGTCAAATTGCACCCCCATGTTTTTTCTGATTCATCTGATAGAACTTCTCATTCCCATCACCATAGATATAGCGTTGTAGTCGAAATTATAAAGACGTAAATGATTTTGCAGGCTTGTTATACTGTGTACTCCAAGTTATTTCTTGAATAAATCGATATTTTTTCATAAAAATTATTGAAATTTTTCGAAAATTCCGAGGATGAATTTCGTGTTAGTGAGGAAACATCAGAAGATTTGCCCCAAAATGCAATTTGAAAAGTCAAAGTTAGGGGTTGTATTCAGTAGATTTTTTTGACATGAGTGTGATTTGTTTTCATTGTCTTGGAAAACTTCTGCTTCCATTTATTCCACAATTTTTTGCCATTTTTTTTGTATTTTAGATAACCCAGTTACCTGCTGGAATAAAAGTTCTGCGAAACTCATACATCTCGACTTAAAACTCAATTTCTCATCTTCAAAGTTGGTTCCGATCATATTTTGATGGAGACCCATTGCTTTCGAAGTGGAAAATCGCAAATAATAAATAGCTGAAAACTAATAATTCCTCGAAACTCTGAGAATTTGCTCAAAATTTGAATGGAAAAGTTTTTTGCTTACGTGAGGGCGATTTCAATTCAGAATAATGGATGATTTTCTGTTATATTAGAAACAAATAAATAATTTTTCTCTTTAAACCAGTCAGCATGAAGTTGGAAAAAACTAGAACAAGTGCAAAAATTTCGCAGTTTTTCGACGCTGACGGCGCTTCCGGTGTATTGGCTAGATCGAAAACTTATAGTTCGTCTAAGAACATAATGAGAAGTCAGAACTATACCCGACCTTTTGTATATATTCCCCACGTCTGGGTAACTGTTACTGATTGTGCCCATTGAAATGATGTTGGTATAGTAGTTTATAAATGAATCACGGTATCTTTCTTTTGATGTAGTCTGAGGTTCCTCTGGTAGTGCGACTTGGTCGCAATAAAAGCCCTTTTTTTTCTGCGTGGTATCTGGTGAATTTTCCCAACGTTTCTTCCGATTCCTGCACGATATGCAAATGCGAAATGTCTGCGAGACCGTATATACCGGTGGCGAACGCGGAATCATTTTGTTTCTGATGGTTGCGTGCCCATTGCTTATCTCCCATTATATGTATACATTCACGGACAACCGTCGTCGGCTAATTGCTCGACTCCAATCCCTATGGCGATCGCAAAAACCTCTCTCTCCGACCGAGTACATAATATATATTCCCGACCGGTTCGAAATCCTTTCGTATATATATACATTTATCCCATCTGTGTTCCTTCGCCGAGGACACATGTCAACGTCGATTCCCCGTGGATTTATAGGGATAACTCTGCCGGAAATATAGCCATCCTCGGATGCATCTTCGCCGGAAATGAAATCCCGTAGCCGGAAGGACTAGTTTTTTTCACGTTGCGATGTGAACGTGTCGGAATTGGTATTAAATCTGAGGGGAACAAACAACTTCGCGGCTATTTTACATGTTTTCGGTTAACACGCGAGATGATGTATATGAATTCTGAATATGAAATAGGAATTTCGGAAAGGAAATCGACAAAGTAATTTGGGTTATGCTCTAATACACAAATACAAATCAGAACAATCATGTTTATTTATTTTCACATGCATGATTAAATCTCCAATATAAAAGGAGAAAGAAAGCATTCCGACAACTTGCCACTTTCAGTACTTTGTGTATTGAACTATTCAAAGTCAAATGTGTCCTCTTCATATTGCAAGAGTGATGGTAACAATACAACGTCACTAGCAGAGAACGAGTCGGCGGCAATGAAAGGAACATGGAAACACCGTGGCAGCATCGTTTAAAATAAATGATCGGCCTCCACATTGATACTACGAGTCTTACGGTATGGTCTCACACGCAAAACAGTTGAATACTCATTAGCAATGAGACCATCGACTGTCGATTGTTTGAATCAGATGAGGAAAAATGAGGAATAGTCCCACAATATCATCAATGACAACTCTCGATATAAACGTACAGTGCATGACCCTGACGAAAATCATCACTGAGAAAGGGCTAAAGGGCTACAGAACTATTAAAGTATCTTCTGGATCAAGGAAAACTATTCAATTAACTGCCATCATATATTTTTCAGAACGTGTCACCGTCACCTCTATCATCACCGGACATATTCGCATTCCAAATAACAATATCTGCCTGTGAAAAATTCATATTGAATTGGGAAAAAAAATTGAAACAAAATCCTTCAGGATCCTTACCCTCGCTTACCATGTCGATGTGTTGCCCTTTGATTCTGTCGTTGTTCAGTTCAAACATAAAAGTTTACATATTGACGCTTTCGGTAAGATCAATACTAGCTATATTAGTGGTTGAAGATATCATTTTTGATTGTGTGGATAGTTGCAATACTTTCCTTCTCTACCGCACCCGCATTGGTTTTCCACTAAAATAAAGCTAATGTGATGGAAAACTAGTACGACTCGATGAGCTCTACCTCCGAATGGAATCGCTCATAAAGCTCACGTCGCTATCTTTCCCCTTCATCCCCCCATCGCCATCCCTAACGGTATTGGGACATCCTTTGATTATCGTTTAACCTCCGTGATTTGAATGGACGAGCGTGTCTGCGACATCCGTGGACCTCTGCACCGGGATCTTTCCCTTCTGGCATTAGGTGGACGATCGTGTTTGCACGTTTCGGCACCGCCTACGTCACAATGAACAGGGATAATCACGTGTCGGACCGATGGAGACGAGAACGCCTCCACGTAAATTACCGCGTCTGATGTGACGCCCCGTACCGAACAAAAATGCTGACGATGGGGACTTTATAATGGCTGGGGATTGATTGTTACTTTTTTCTGTTGCAGCATCCTTACCCCTCGGAAGACCAGAAAAAGCAGCTAGCGCAGGATACGGGCCTAACGATACTCCAAGTTAATAACTGGTAAGTCATTACTGGGTGATTTTTTACAACTCGTCACCCGCATCTTTACTGTGGAAGAATCTTTATTGCTGACTACGAAATCTCGTAATTGCCGAGATATTTCTGGCAGTTACATTCTGCGCAATTTGTCTCTCGATCTCATTCATTATCATCGCGCTCAAACAAATTATGGCGGACATCATTTAAAATATTAGCGACCGGCCATTAAGCGGCGAATTCCGCTCGCTGCAAATCTGCCCTCTGCAAATTAATATCGCGTAGATCGCACAATAAATTACTCGTTGGCCAGCGAACTAAAATTAGGATAGCTGCGAACCTTGAACGATTCGTGGGTGGTGAAAACGGTATATGCAAGTTCGTAAAAAGTTTAGAAGCAACAAAGCGAGCGTATACCTACCATAAGCAGCGAGACAGCTTGCGACCACAGGAGGTCGTAAATCTATCACATCCAATTTAGTTTCCCCGACAATGTATACGAATCTGTAGATCAGAATCAGATTGGTTAGTATTCACATGATTGTCGCCAGAACTTTGGTTCCATGATGAATGTGAGGTATTGGGTAAGAAGTAAGGCAGTTTTTACCATGGAGAGTCATGACGAAATTAATACGCAAGAATGAATCTCACATCAACCTAACCCTAAAATTGCCCTCGAGTCACGTAGTGCATAGCATTTTTTCAGGAAGAGAAGATGAGAAAACAAGAGAACGTGTTCTGTGTATCTGGTTCCAAACTATTCCAGATATATTTCGGACTGAATTTGATGCGCATCTGATTCCAAGGACAATTTCAACACTTTGCAACTTCACTTGCTCCCACTACGATTCTGCGACGGAATTGTTCTTTCCTCATCAAAAAATGATTCATCGGGATCCTTTTGAATTGACAAACTTCGTTCCGATCGACTTCACCTGGTCTTGTATCCCCAAAATCCGAAATCCTTAAGCCAGGCCTCGGCAGTCATTACGAGAACAACGCTTGCCGCCTCATTGGTCGCCGTTCTACGTCACGATGATGGATTCCGCTGCACGCTCGGAAACCGGTGGCAAATGACCCGTGAGCCGTGATCGCTCTCTATATATCGAAAGTTTGTGCAAACGCTGCTGACGCACGGTCTCCACATGAGGGGTGGATTGTTATCACAATGATGTGATGACTGTGTGGTTTGAAAGTTGCAAGGAAAAAACTCAGCGGAGTGAAAGGTTTCGTAACACTAGGACAACTAGGATTTTCATGAATTTTAAAAATATCATCATACAATTTGTGCAGAGTATTCCATTCCTGACGATACTTTGGAAGCAGATGCCTAGACCGAAAATATGAAAAATTTTCTCATATGAGAAATATGTATTTGCGCAGAACGGGGCCGGTGGATAGAAACAGAAAAATATGAGTCGAGGTTCTTTTCTCAATTTGATTCTGAATACGAATCTTATCAAAGTATCTTGAACGCTTGTTGTTATTGTTATTATTCAACTGGTCGTTTAGATTATGATTGATATGTCTATATCAATGAGAATCCGATATATTATGTACAGGGTATCCCAACTTGGGCACTTTTGCGGGGTATCTCCCTTATCAGTAAAGATAGAGCATTGCGGTTTTCGCGACAGTGTGCTACTTTTTTATGAAATTAATAATGGCGCAAGCAGAATTGTGATAGCTCTTCCGGTTGTCGAGATACAGGGTGGAATTGAAAAATATCACTTTTCAGGCACCCTCCGTGTCTCAGTTATCTTTGAACTTATCGAAGAAGTTAAAACTTGTTTTTATAAAGTTTTTCTCGTAGAATCCAGTGGCGTAGTTATTTTTTTGCTAGCACCTTTTGTTTTTTAGTTATGGAGCAAACATATGTTTTTTTAAATGGAAAATAATTGTATACAATTATATATTTTTGGAAAGCCCACTTCATGCTCAATGTATATATGAAATAATATACAGGGTGTTCCATTTAAAAAAACATATGTTTGCTCCATAACTAAAAAACAAAAGGTGCTAGCAAAAAAATAACTACGCCACTGGATTCTACGAGAAAAACTCTATAAAAACAAGTTTTAACTTCTTCGATAAGTTCAAAGATAACTGAGACACGGAGGGTGCCTGAAAAGTGATATTTTTCAATTCCACCCTGTATCTTGACAACCGGAAAAGCTATCACAATTCTGCTTGCGCCATTATTAATTTCATAAAAAAGTAGCACACTGTCGCGAAAACCGCAATGCTCTATCTTTACTGATAAGGGAGATACCCCGCAAAAGTGCCCAAATTGGGATACCCTGTACATATAGAACAGTTAAATGTTGAGAAAAGTGTTCTTCTGTCCTTCACAGCCTTCTAATTCTCTGAACTCCTGCACACCTCCAGGTGTACGCGTGAGATAACTACGGGGTAAACGAAGGTGAGAGCATAGAGGCGGCGTTTTCCGAGGGGGCGGATGGAGGGACCTTGGCGTTAATTCCAGCCGTGCAGATTACGCACGTTCGCTCCATTGGAAATCCTCGTGCCTGCCGCCAGTGCCACCGCCTATTCTATGGAAATGTTGGTCAAATATATCATTCCGACTTGACAGTGCAATTCTCTTATCTACGCGCCGCCGGCTCGCACCGGGGTCTCCCCCGGGCCGATGTCGAAAAACAGAGGATCGAGTCGGCGGTGGAGGAGGGAGAGGGGGTGGACTCCGGCCAAATTGCGAACAAAACACGAGCGCAGGGGGCGCCGTTTTCGGGTTGCAGGAACGGGACGACCTCCCAAAACTGCGATCATACGATCATACTTCCATTCAGAGATGAGTCATCATTCTGGTTGGTGATGCCACACTCATTCATTCCTCAACATCATTGGAACACTGTTGGGAACTCATATACTTTCTTGTAACCAGAAAAAATAAAAAGAATTCCAAAACCTCCACCTTCTCTCGTTATCCTTCCTTGATACGCAAGATGTTGTACGAACATAATAGGGAATTCCGTCCTTGCGCTCCAAAAGATATCGTTATCGTTATTCATTACAATACAAAAAAGCATTTCACTGTGTGCTATAACTTTGAATTTCCAAATCCATTTGCTTATGACATTTTTGTTAATCCAATTACCAACATTTACACTGTCAAGCCCTCAGTCAAGTCGCAAGAGAAAAAATTCGAAAAATCTGATTAATTTCACAATTTTAAAATCATTTTTATTGGAAATTATTCATTGAATTCATATTTCGCTTCCATTTCTGTTATGCAGTCTCAGCTAAGCAAGTTCAGGTCCTAGGTTTGTAACAGAATTTGATTCTCCTGGTACAATGAAAATGCAAAATGATGACTGCATCGGCTACGACTTTTAGCATTGTTTTGCCTTTTGAAATAGCCAATTCTTACAAACTTATTTGGACAGAGAATAAATCTCTCCAGCAGATGAGTGCTGTCCATATTGGTTCCAGTTTGGTAGGTATAGGTACTTAGGTAGGTAGGTAGAAAATCCAAAAATGAACAAGTTTTTCATTCTTCGATAAAATGAATGCGGCCGCCCCTGGTCTCTCTTTGTGCCGACTGGAGCGAATATTAAAAACAGAGACGAGTTCATCTGCATGAGAAAATATGAAAAATTAAACGAATAAGGTTTTTGGAGACCCCCCGGGGTTCTCCCAGCTAAATCCATTCGAAATTAACTGATGCAAAAAAAATCATCATAGTAATTGAGGTACATACCTAACAAAAAACTATGATTATCGCATCACTTCACAGATCTATGACTTCAATACAGGGTGATTAGGACAGATACACTGGACTGTAGAAGCAATGCATATACGTAACTCTTACACATAACTTGAATGTTGTTATTCGATCTTCATTTATTTTCAAGTCATACCTCATAACTTATCGCCTTTCTTGTTTTCTTTCATTTTCTGGAGCATACGAAAGGCAATCGCTATAAGGTTCGTGGACCATCGAGCATATATGATGGAGGATGAAAAGATACAGTAGGATTTTTTTTTACCTTGAGGGCTTATAAGTTCTCAAAGGAAATTCCTATAATCGCGCATACCTAGGGAGGACAGTGAGAGGAGGTAGGTGTATAATTAGTATTCGATGTAATTATTCGTTTTTCTAAATCATCGCAATTTTTCTTTCCAATAATCAAAATCGGACCTTATATAATACACCAGCTCTCGATAACGTCGCACACCTTCCGAAAGCCATGTTAATCTGCATTCTTGCTTTCATATCAATAGTAAGATCTCTTTATTCCTCAACAACCAATCAGAGCATAACCGCATATGTCGTCGCCGCCAAATATATAACTTGTAATTACCATGGTCCCTAATAATCACTAATTGAATAATTATTTACTTTCAGAATGCTTCAGTATCGATAAAAATATCCTAATATTCCCAATAATGATCGAGATTTCATTCAAACCGGAATTATTTTGTGGCACTGGCAACAGCGTAATGCCTAGAGTTCACAGAAATACAAGACGAGAAGAATAGGTCAACCTAACTTTCTCAATATCGTCACCTTTCACCAAATCCGTTCATCTTGGCAAGTTATTCAACAAATACTGCGAATATTCGAAGATAATCCGCAGATTATCTGATTCTTCAGTTGTCTGTTGGTATTCTCTGTTATCTGCAGTGAGTATTCAGTCTGGAAAATGCATTTCTTATTCTGATAAAATGATATTCAAAAATATTCTCGCACTTGTCTTACAGAAATAGAGAATGCATATACGTAACGACGTCTTATATGATCGCATTGGATTGTTCACGGGTGATTACGTTACGCGTTTTCTCGCCTTTTTCATGTCATGAAATATCGTCAATTTCAATGAAAATTTGATATTTATATACAGAGCTCTGAGGAAAAAACGATTTACGACAGTGGACAGTGGGTTAGTAGGTACTTCGAAAATAATGGAACAAAATTTTCCACTGAAACAGCCCTCTAAGCAAATTTGGAAGCTATGTTGATGCAAGGTTGTATACCAATTACTGGAACGGACTTTCAGCAATAT